TGTCATAAATTAACTTGGTTAACAGGTCGAACCGGATTATTATTTGGAATTTGTTACCAGGATAGACTTGGTAAACAGGTTGAACATGGTTATATTTGGACTTAGTTAACAGGATACTTTTGGTTAACTAGTTTGACCAGTTTATATATAGATTTGAACAAGTTATATTTGGACTTTAATGAGTTTAAATTAGCTACACATGATCTTTGTCGTATATGAATTGGGTTAACAGGTTAAACCTGGTTTTATTTGGAATTTAAGACAATTAACTTGGTTCCATTAGAAATTCAGTGTTTCCCCTGCCATTATATTAGGGGGGCACCCCGCCCCCCTTGAAGGTCAAGTTAATTTTATTTTCTATATAGCGCCAGATCACAACAGAAGTCATTAAACGTTTGCCTTTAACATTTGCTTTACATGCGTTCTGATTAATAAAATGTAATTTAACCATTAAAAAGTCCAGAAAAATTAAAACAGAAAATATTGAATCCTTTTGGAAATGGAAACCTAGGGGAAACACTGAACTATGTTATACATTAACTTGGTCAGCAGGTTGGACCTGGTTATATATGGAAGTTAAACATGGTTAACAAGTTGGTTAACTCACCTCGGGCAGGTAGACCCGCGTCGGAGCAAACGTAGTCGCGCTGGAGCTCGCTGCAGCTTCAGCTGCTTTTGCTTCGGCTAGAACAACAAATACAGTCAGTTTATATAAAAAGTCTGTTAAGAGTTAACCAGTAAAACAGTGACTTGAAGTATAAAACTCAAAGGAATCCAGTTGTGGCTCATACCTGCGGGGGTTCTGGGCAGGTCTGGGTCTGGAGGAGCGTGGCTCATCGGAGCTGTATACGGCGGAGGAGGCATGTAGGCTGCTGGTCCATCAAAGCCAGGAGGGTTGGAGTAAAATCCACCTACAGGACACAAATAACAGCAGTTCAGTGTTTGAATACAAGTTTAAATGTCAGTACTTAAACAGCAAAACTGGAGTTTTTGGCTTGTGACGTCGGAGCATGCGCCGTTATCTCCGCCTACTGGAAACTTTTTCAGGCTTCTGATTGGCCAACATGGCTTTACGGTTGAGATTATATCGCCACCTGTTGGCTTGGCATGCGCTTGACAGTGCTTCATAGCATGCTTTTGCGTTTTCATGTGGACGGAGATTTTTTTTAAAACGGAAAAAGGAAAGAATACCCGTGTACGTGTGGACATGGCCTTAGTTTGCTCAGCGCTGTTTAGCAGTGAATCTGACCTGGAGGTGGAGGTCCAGGGTAGGCGTATCCAGGCGGAGGTGGTGCGGCCGAATACATGCCGTTAGCAGGAGGAGGAGGAGGGTAAGCGAACGCCCCGTTCGCCATGTAAGGACAGCCGTAATTTACAGTCACCGGTTGCCCTCTGGATGCTGAAACGAAGGTAATGCTTCCACATCAAATCTGATGCTAAAACATTTCTTTAAAAAATAATTATATTACTTTTCAAACTGATTGAGCACAAACGTACCCTGTGCTGCCACCTGTAGCATGCACTGTCCAAACTCAATCGCTCCTCCGGCAACAAAAATCAACTTGAAGGTTGCAGAACCTTCCCAGCCACCTGGAGCAGTGATGGAAACATGCTTTAGTATATCTTAGTTCCACGAGTACATCGTTACTTTCTTCCAAGGACCAGATTATTCAAATGAAAACTTGAGGAGGGTCATGATTCGGATCGGAGTACTTTTATTTATTTAAAGTCTAACATGTTAACATGCAATACAAAATTGAACTTTTTTATTTATTTTTTTTACATGTGTAATATAAAGGCCTGTCAATTGTTTCGAATTAATTACATGATATGAAAATGAAATCAGTTGCAATTATTTTCATGATTCACTGAAAAAAGTTCCAAAATAAACAATTCAAAGATATGAATTCATTGATTAATAGACATTACAAAAAGTGTCTTTATACATGAATATACTGTACATCGTTTTTATCTATTAAAGAATTACTAAAAAGTGAGCAGACACAATAATAATTTTCGATATTTTTGACTGTTTCATGTGGTTCGTGGCCAGTGTTATTTTAGCATTATTTGTACCCTACTAATATTTATATTTGAATTCACAATAACGATTTTTACAAGTGGTTTTGGCCTGTGATTTGGTTTATTCCCTCATTGCACAGCTGCAGTGTTCATTTTAGGCTCGGTGTTTTACCTCCAGGCTCAGCGCTGATCGTGCCCTTGATGTAGTTGGCACCAAGTACTGGCTGTTTGACCTCACAGCCCTTCATAAGATAAAACGGCATCATGAAGGACTGCAGGGGGTCCTTCCCTTTAGTCAAGAAGATCGCCTAAACATCAAACCACATAAGCAGCAAATGATGAACACATTCATTTACTGAGGTTATTTACAAACCACTGAACAAGACCAGTCGGGAGACAGACAAGGCCAAGACCATATTAAAATACATATTTAAAGATTTTCCTTGCTCTGTCCTTATCATCATTCAATAATAAGATGATTATCGAACCCTCCTCTTGTATTACGTACCCTGTAAGGTGTCAGGTAGATGCTTCCCTTCTTGCTTTTTCTGAAGGCTTCTGGCAAGCGTTCTGCGTCACTGAACAGCAGCTCCACATTCTCATATGACATCAAGACACTGTAGGAAAACAGATTTGGTTTATTACAGTCAGCACATTCTGTGCCAACACATAAGGAACAAAGCTAGCTTTGCCATCGCTGACAAGGAACAAAGACTTGCTTATAGTTTTAAAGAATACCAGTATCACTGTAGTTCTAAGAGCATTTTTCAATAATAATATAACCCTAACAACAATAAAATATTAATAATATTTTAATGATTAATTATTATTTATATTAATATAAAAATGTAAGAAATAAAATAAATTATTTTACAATTTATTTGTAATTTATTACTATTATTATTGTAATAAGTTGTAGTTATATTTGTCTATAATGTTACAATAAATCATTATATATAATGTAAGAAATAAAAAACTAAATATATGAATGATAATAAGCAAAAATATTATATTAAACATTATATAAATAATAATTATTAGATGTAGTACTAAGAACATTTGTCTATGTTGTAATAATTCACTATAAATAATAATAGTAGGAGTAATAAAATACATAAAAATATTACTGATTATAAATAAAAAGTCAATAATAATAATAATAATATAAAAACACAAGAAAAATATATTAAATAATAACATTAACATTTTATTTATTGTTGTTGTGGATTACTATTGTGTGAATAATATAGCCTAGTAAATGTATTTTAGAGTTAATGAAGATAATGTAATGTAGAATAGATGCAGAAAAGTTAAATGAATGCAAAACCTAAATAAAAAGATGGCATCAAATCTATTTGGGTACTTCTATGATTATTGGTTATTATTACAGATGATGATGTCTTTGCTGGAGTCATCCGTCTCAGTGTTAAGATCACAGCTATTGTGAAACTTTAAGAGCATGGCATTTATTTGAGCAGAAGCGCGAGAAGATTATTGCTGATCTACTGCGACTACAAACGCGAGTCCTACTACGTCGACGGCTGAGCTCATTAATATTAATGACGCAACGTGGCATTCCTCCAGCTGATTGGCTGAAACACAAATTGGAGGTTCACGCATCCGAATATTAATAAGGCTACGTGACTGAACGCTGCGGGAAGGTTTCCAAGCAACTTGAGCGTGACTAGATTAATATTCATAGCGCGCACTTCACCATACTAGGATTCTGAAAGCTGCGCAAGACCCATGTTTTTAAAAAGATAACAACTTATGGGACTGAATATGGGCTACATTTACAGTGTGTAAACATGATGCTGCTTAAAATAAACACAGAAAAGGCAGATGCAGTGCACATGAATAAAATGGGTGTGATCTCGCGGTTCACGCGATGTTATTCAACACATGACACTGAATTATTCTTATTATGTGACTAGAAAAACACACAATAATTAATTCGATATGGACGTTTTGGACAAATCCGTGTAACGTTAGACAGAAATAGGACAGTACCAGCTTTATATAATAATAACGGCAATATTAATCAAAGCGTCTGATTACCTTTCGCTGTTGTTGATGATAACACCTCCACATTCAGAGTGATTGTTGTTGAGGGCCATGCTTGATTTCTGTCTGTTATTGTGTGAAATTGACGCTCTACATGCTACGCGAAGATCCACCCGCACTTCCGGTATAGGCCACGCCCCCCGGTGACGTCACCGAGCGGGTTGGAGCTATTTCCCGAACCTTCTCAAATAACAAATAAATACTTATCAAAGCAGAAGCATCTTAATCTTATAATGTTTTATTTTTCTAAGACGGATAGATAAATT